TGCTCACCATCTCATGCTAAGTTATTGGCAGAGGAAATATAGGAGAATAGCCTCTGGACTTTAAATCTGTTGCTTAGCTACTGATCCACAATAGCTCCCAATTGACTTGAACTACAAAGTACCAGAGAATTTGAAGATTCAAAAAAGATCATGTCTCCACTGAAATAAAAAACAGAAAATTCTATCAACAGATTGTTCTATACACAAACTATTTGATCACTCTCATCAAATAGATTTATATGTTAGTCCAATTTATTTTTGAATGTTCATATTGTCATAAATAGACTCCTAGATGATACTGTGCTATAAATATCTATTAGAAAATACCTTACCTTAGCTCACCTTGAATAGGTATATAAAGGAAGTTTCTTAAGGTAATTCTAAAACTTACTTAAATTCAGTTGTAAGAAAGAAATCTATGAAAGCTGTCATATGATATATGTTGTTATGCACCCCACTCTACTACATTGGAAAATTGAAGCAGAATTAATACTTGGTCTCATGATTCAGATAGAAAATATATTTTGATTTAAAATATACAATAAGTTATATAATTTGGTATTTGTCAGAACAGACCAGAAAAATGTTTTGATTTCTATTATCCTCCCACCAAAAAAATAAATATCTTTTTAATTTATTCATAGATATTTGCTTTCTTATTTCACTGATTACATCTTAAAAGAAATGTCTCTGCCCTCCCCGTCTTGTTTTGATGAGTAAAAGTTGGTAGTAGAGAAGAGAGTAGAGATCACTCCCATTTCCAAGTGTACATCTTGCCTAGGAGATGATAATTCGATTTCCACTATGACCCCTTGGACTTCCTCTGATGACCCTCTATTCTGTTTCTCCCCATGGAAATGCACAAATCACCTGGGTGATGGTAGGGGCAAGGATTTGCTCAGCTCTAAAGCCCAAGGCACCAGGGGAGGGAGCTATGCTTTTTGAGACCATGGTTTCTTTTCATCAGAGAGCAGCCAGCAGAACAGGAAAAACTACTTGAATATGCAATTTTAAGATTTATTACTGATGCTGAATTTACTATACTCAGTGACTGAAGAAATTGTCAGTACACAGAAACCCTCTGAGCTTGCAGACTCCAAGTAATATTTTCATACCTAACTTACAATAAAAAATAAAATAAAAAAAAAACCCTCCCAATCTCCTCCCTAATACTATTTTCAGGATCACAATTGATCATATGTTTACATCATTTGCAAGTGTGTTGTGGAAGCCACATTTACAGATGCTCCCTCCTTATCTCTATTTTGGTCAAATTCCTCTTGCATTTCTCTCATTCTATCGCAGAATTTGCAAACATGTAAATATCATGTAACTTCTTTTTTACATATGTTAATTTCTTATCAGGTCTTGATGAGCTCCCTACATTTCATGGATTTGAAGACTTTTATTCATGTGTTTCAACCTAACTTATTCTGATGATTTCCAATGTTATATAATATATCCTTCACTGATAATTTTTCCTTGGTTGAACACTGCTCTGTCAGCATATAACATGAGAATAAACCAAACAACTAGAAATAATGGCTTAGTATTATACCCATACCCAGTCAAAGCAATCATAAAGAGAAAAGCCTGTGATAAGCATTTTGTACTTTGGGAACAGGAATTTAAGATTAAATAAAGTACTGATTGGTGGCATTTCCATGGTTTTTCTTTGTCTACAACAAATTATACTCTTTTTCTTAGTATTTATGCTATTTTGCTCAATGGAAACCTAAAGATGGATTAGGTAGAACTGTTAAATTTCAGTCTGAAACCATTGGTCCTTGGCATGCCCATGATCAAAGAATGGCCAGACACGCCAAAGTTAGGCAAGCACGAAAATGAAGTTTATTGAGGAAAGAGCAATAGGCATATAGGGCAAGAGCAAGAGATAGGTTTACAGAGCATGGTACATATGCCACAGATGATGACTGGGCCCCCTGTTGCAGCAGGAAAAAAAGAGACCCTGTTTAAGGCCTGGGTCTTGTTTTATGGTGTCCGGTTAGGGACCTCCCTGCTACATGGTCTTACTATGCATATGGGTCCCAGATCACTTCCTGGACTTTATGGTACTTATGCAGCTTGGCCTAGAGAGTCCTAGCTAGGCTAGAGAGTCCTCTGCATTCTTTTGCAGCTGGTGGCCAAGTCCTGATTGGCAGATTCCTAGGGTATTCCCTCCTCCCCCAAGCATGGAGAATGAGGGCAGGGCAGGACCAAGACGGGGGCAACAGCACCCACTTTCATCCCTAGGAGACCCGGGCTCCAGTGGGGGAGGTGTGGTTGTGCCAAGGACTTGCCTCCAGGAAGGGTAGACTCCTCCCAGGAGATACCGACAGCTCAGGGAGAGGATGGCTACCCAACCTCAGCAGAGGTGGTAGCTTTGTCCTTGGGGCACATGTAAGAGCTTGCTGCATCTCTTTAGAAGGAAAACAGTGAGCCCTAAACTCTGTGGAAATTGGGTGTGGTAGGCACTCTGTTGTTGATGGGGTAGTCACTTCCAAGTGCCCTGGCCTAATCATCCCCTGTGGAACCCTCACCAGTTAATGGCTAATTTCTAATGGCTTAATGAAATTAATTTAGCCACATGTTATCAGATTATATAGAATTTTAAAATACTGATATTTAATAGAACAATTTTAATTAAAGGTTTAATTAGTGGTTTGCAGTCTTCAACCATGATTTTTAATTCATGGACAATTTAAGGTTATTGAGATAAAAGGTAGCCATTACAGAAGGAGGAGGAAGCCCCACACATTAAATTTCCAAGGAAAACATAATATATTTTAAAATTAGTCAATGAGCACTGTCATTAATAATATTTTATTATAACTAGACAAATATTTGTATAAATATGATTATTGTGATAAAACTGTAGAAGACAAATTCACATGTGAAAAACAAGATTCCCATTAATTTTAATGCTAATTAATGAAATATAGCTGACATTAATTAATTTAAAAATATTGCTTTAATGTTTACTGTGTCCCAGCCTTTTTGATAATTATATGGTAACATTAGAGAATTATTTATTAGAGTCAATATTCTAGCTGTTCCAAAAGATACTGCTAGTTTCTTACAAATTGTACAAGTGCAAGATCAATGGAATATGAGTTTTAGCTTCTTGAAGAAAGATTGTTGGATTATCAGAGAAGAACCTGCCAGTAGGATGTGTGTGTGTGTGTGTGTGTGTGTGTGTGTGTGTGTGTACACATATATATGAAGGAATATATTACAAAGAATTGGCTTATGCAACTGTGGAGTCTGGTTAAGCACATCTGAAATCTACAGGACAAGCAGTCAGGAAGAAAAGATCATGGATAGGCTATAAGCCCATAGGTACAAGCTATATAGAGTTTCTGAATACAGGAAAGTTTTAGAGCCTCTTGGAAAGGACAATCCAAAATACGAGGCTATGGCACTATCAAAGGCTTCCCTTACCAATTTAGGCATTTGGGAACTGGTCTAGAATATGTAGTTATTCTAAATTAGAATAAGCACTGAAGCAAACATGTTATGTATTTCAGTCGTTTGTCCAGTTATTTGAAAAGTTAATATTTATGGACTCCTTAATGTATTTTGGGTAATTTTCAAAGTATTTTACATATATAAATTATTTAATATAAAAACTTTTTAAGGTAAATATTATCATCTCTGTTTAGGGAAGTCATGACTCAGAGAGATTATGTAAATTTCCTATTTTTAAGTAGCATAGCCAAGTTTCATAATCAGTATCCTGTATAATTAATGACACATGGAGTAGATAGAAGTGGGAAGAGAAAAAAGATACCAGTTAGCAGACGTAAGATGATTTAGATCTCAAATAATATTCAGATGGTGACACGAACAGAATTAAATAGAGGCATGAATATAAGAAAATAACATTTGGATGAATATAATGGATAAATGAGAGTAATTAATCAAAAATCACTTCAAAATCAAAACAATAGGAAACTAGGAATACTGCGTTAGTATTGATATAAGTAAGAGAATTTCAAAAGGAGACAGACTGTTAGCAGTTTATAGTTATTCGAGGCTTTACTTTTTCTACAGAAGAAATTGTAAAAAGGTAACAGAAAATATCGGTGATTGTCTGCAATTAAAGGACAGAGAAGTGACACAAACAGGCAAGTAAACAAGGGAAATAAGATGGAGATTTAGGAAGATAAAACACATAGTATAATGAAGGTGGAATAATTAATCATGTTAAATTAATGTTTGAGTTTAGGATTTCCTTTGAATTGAGCTATAAAAAAACTATTAATAATATCTTAAAAGAGGAGCTCAAGGAAATAGATTAGAATGCTAGTTAGGGAGAAAAAAGAAGGTGCTGGGGATGAGAATTAGATAAATTAATTATTCATTTGAAGATTATTGCTGTAAGAACAGAGACATGATTGAGTTACAACCAGGGGACTGCTAGGTCAACTGAATATTTTGCCTGAAGTGTCATTTAAGGAAGACAAAAGAAGGGTTGGGAAAAAGAAAACTGTGAGAGGGAGACCTATTTGAGAACTATAATATTAAATAAATTCAATGATTATAAATCTAAATACTAGTCTGGTGTCAGACACAGTAAGCAATTTTAGATATCAGATTTAATCTGGCACATGTAAGTTTCAAAATAAACTAAGAATCAAGATCTCCTTATAAAAATAATTTTCAAATACAGAAGGATTTAAAGAAAGAATTTAAAGAAAAGAAGTCATTTGGAGAAAGTCTCAGGAATATAAAAATAAATTGTCAAATAGTGCTAAAAGTGTTTGAAATTGAGGAAAAGACACAATCCATTTTATGAATGCAAAGAGAATAAAGGAAACGAATTCTTCAAATATGTGCTGAATCTCACCCCTCTCCTTTCCAAGTGCTTGGGTCATTGAAGTTTGCATTCAATACAGAAATGGTAGGTTTGTGCTGATAAAAATCATATCGAGTGACTTTCTTTTATTCATCAATTACTAACTTTCAGCTTTAACTGTATTGTCATACCTTTTTTTTTTTCCAGCTCCTTGTAGTTCAGACTCCAATCCCCCTAAATAAGGAAAAGGACTGTAAAATAGATAATACTTGTTTTATATTTCTCAAAAGTCCTCAGACATTCAAATATCTATAGCTGCAATTTGCATTAAGAAATGTTGTGTACATGGACATATTCATTTAGTTTGTGACATAAAGCCTAAAGTAATGCATTTTCTAGAGAAAAATTATTTCCAGACAGAATCTACTATTTTCTATTACCTTGTATTCAGTGACATTTCTTTTGATTTAGTGACAGGTTATTTACTAGACAGCTGTGTCGTTTAATTCAAGTTAACTTAACATGGAATTCTCCTACATTAATAGACCTCACTGAGCATGCACTAGATTAAAGACAAACCTGGAAAAAATAATATATTAAATAAAATAGGTCACACGAAGTTATAATATGATGAGTCCACAGGAAGTGGTGAGACTTGGAGTGTGAAAAATAGGAAATTTTAATGATGCAAGCAGCAATTCATTGGTGAAAAGCTTCCTCTGTAAACTTTAATATTAAAAAGTTAACTTGTGGTTTGCTTTTGCAAAATGAAATCATAAAAGATATTTCATCTAAGAAACTAATCACTGTTATTATTTCCCACGAAACAATGCCAATTCTTACAAAATAGAGCAGTTATATTCCTTAAATAGAATGCTACTTAATCATTCTTTAACATAATATATTCACTAATGTGCTACTCTTATGGTCCAATTTTCAGATCTTTCATCATTTTATAAGCTATGTATGTCAACAATTTTTTTCAAAAATAAAAACAGTAAACATGTGAATGTATTTAGAATATTCAAAGTCATTTATGTATAATGTAGGAAATAATCCTATGATATAGGTGAATGCTTCAGTTCTAGGCCAAAATGAGTTATGTCTAGAAAGCCAGGATATGGTGACACCTCACTAATCAAATCCTGTAGATTTCCATTTTTTATACAAAAAACTGAACCTGACAATTGTTTTTTTATCTTATTGGAACTGAAGTCGACTGACATGATAGATTGATGTTGTTAATACTCATCTGTAGTTAGTTTCCTCTTCTTCCACATTTCTTCTGTCTCTCTACAAAGTTATATTAATTATTTCCATGCTAGTAAAGATAAAGATGCATGTAAAAATCTTACATGTATCTGAATATCATCTGAGACCAAATCTTGCTTTCCTATGTCCATTATTACCAGAGTTGATTTTAAGAATAAAATGCAATACATTAAATGGCTGTCACAGTGTAACTGGCTATTTGGTAACTAAATCTTGTATTGGAGTAAAACTTTTAGAGGCATCAATCATGTGCCAATGTCATAAAAAGGATTGACAGCCATCCAATGCAGTCCTAACTGCATATTACTATGGAGTTAATCTCACTTATTCCCCAATAATGTTCTCTCCTCTGGTTGCAGCTTATTTCTAATTTCTCATTAACCTCTCTATATTACTCCTGTGTACTGTAGAAAAATCATGTTTCCCAGACTACATTATATAATTTGATTGGAAATGAACCCATACCTGTCACACTTGGAAATAAATGACAATCCCAAACCACAAGCAACCAATGCAATTTTAAAATCTACTCTATTATAAAAATGCTCTCTCTCAACCTCACAAGAGCAACACTCTGTTAAATCCCATTTTTCCTGCCTAGCCTTTATATAGTCATCATATATGTGTTCATATTGTACTAGAAATCTTATGCTAAAATATTTTCTATAAAATTCAAGTTTATATCGTGGCAAACTAAAATGATATGGGAAAATATCCTTTATGCGTTTTTTGCAAGAATTAATATACTATTTGATAATTATGGAGGCACTTATTATGTCACGTAAGTCACTTAGAAACCATAGGTAAAGGCTTTATACCTACAATCTCTTTACAACAAAACCATTTTGAATAAAATCCCTTGGCATGAATTTATTTTAACTCTTCACTTGCTGATTAGTTAGTAAATTACATAATACTCTTATATCCTAATTTTGCATCAGCTATTATTTATTACAAGAAAAAATAAAGAAACACAGAAATGGGAGAGATAAAAAACATAAAGTAGTTTTCCTATTCAAAAAACATTGGAATTAATTTTTTAACATGAAGAATGATATTTTCTAATTGAACTCAATTTAAATGTACAATAATAGCAAAATTATAAAATAAAATATTCTATATTTATAGACTACGATGCTATGCAGCAATTAACAATAATGATATGAGCCACATATTAACATGACAAAGATTAATAGAACATCATTAAATTAAAAATTTGAAATATAACTATGCTGCAGAAAAAAAAATATGTGTGTGTGTAAGAGCATATATGTGTATTTTTTAAGTAGTAATTTTACTACAGTTTGGTTTAATTGATAAATTTCCTGTTATCTTTTCTCTACTTCCTAAAATATAAATTAAAATACACTGAAATATTTTTGTCATTATTTTTGACAAAATATTTGACAATATTTTTGTCAAATATTATAATGTATATTTGATGTTTGGCTTTTATTACTTACCAATTGATATGACTGATCAGTACACAATTTGTGACATTTTATGACAATATATGTGCACTATGCAGATTTCAAAAATAAGTTTATTTGCAATAAAGTCAGCAGTATAAGCTGATTTTAATAGGCATAACCTTTTTCTTTTTTAGCATCCTGCAAGGCATGTCCTGTTTCACTGAATTAAAAACAGAGATCTAGCAAGCTTCAGGCTTGAATGGAGACACTCAGAAGAGGGAATGGGGCCCACACACAGCTGCAAAACTTAGAAGGGAGCAAAGCCTGACAGTGACAATGTGTTATCTCAAAAATGTGCTAACAAATATTCACATTAGTCTCTAGAAAAGGACAATGTTGCAGATTGGGAAAGGGGTCTAAAAAATGATACCAACAACTAGTGATCCAGATGACTAATGTGTATAATGAAAAATAATTTCAATTTAAAAAATGTCAGTCTATGGAAATATAATAAAGCCAATTTTTGGCATTTTTGGAAGTTTGTGTGGAAAGATAAGAATCTTGCAAACAAAGTTTGACACAAGGAATTGGACTGAACCTTTTGGGTGGAAGAATTTATAAGAATGAAACAGCTATCAGGAAATGTAAGTAGTGAGATACTTGGATGCAGAAATAGGATGGATATTAAAAAAATGGTCTGAAACTTTTTTTTAAACAAAAGTAGGGTAACATTAAAGCCAAGTCAGAAACAATGGTGATAACTAATATTATTCAGGAAGCAAAAAATAAAGGAATATCAGTTTTAAATTGCATTAATATGTTTTTAATATGTTTTTTAAAATACAGATAAAATTTATGCCTACATATTATTTTGGTTTACAGTAATAAAAATTAAAATACAGTATCTGTTTTGCAGCTTAATTTCTGCAATTTTATAAATTTAAATTTAAAGAAAAATTCCAAGTGATCACATACAAGGAAAAAATTGAAATGATATAGTGCTACTATTGGTAAATTGAAATTTACCTTTAATTGTAGGAATATGTAGGGCCGTCGAAGTTGGAGGAACAAATTTTGCCCAAACTGAGCTCAAATTATTCCAAACTATTATGAATTTTCTGTTTAAATGAATATGTGTACCTACGTTGATATGTATTTACTATATTGGGAGTTCTCCAAATAAACTTCCATGTAATATATAATGTTATTCAAGACTAAGTGATAAAACTGCTAATTTGATGGCTGTTTGTATAGTAAAGGCCATCTTCACTTTGTGTAGTAGTCCAGACAGCAAAAATGACTTTGCAAGCAGAAATCATGCAAAGAAATTTTGATAATCAATAGGAATATTTGCAATTTTTCTATGACTTTTAAATTTTTTTCTCAAAGAATTAAAAATCCTGTTACTATTGGTTGTCAATTTATAAGAAAACAGAAAAATAGTAACAGTGATATTTAACTACAATTGAAAACATTGAAATTGAAGCATCTTTTAGTAAAAAAAAAAAATAAACTTACCTTCTCATTGTATAATTTATAATTTAGAGTTAACATCTTTTCTATGCATTGGGAATTATCATATTCTATTGAGGTTTGGATCAGCTTCCAGTATTTTTATCATTGTGCTTCCAATATTGTGAAATAACTCTGAAAGTTCTTTTAATGTGAAGATTTTTGCTGGTGTTACTTTCTCTGGGATAACTTTTTTTCCCTTGCAACCATTTTTCTCATTATGCCTTTAAATTTGTCTTTACTAAGATCTTCTGGCTTCATATCTAGAGTCTCCAGAATGGTGGTAGCGTCAACATCACCATGATCAGCACTTTCTTCTCTATCTCCACTTATATTCTATTCAGATTTCATTTTTTAAACCATTATCATGTGTCGTTTCTTTGCTGTGTTTTCATCTTTGTTTGGCAGTTGCCTCATTCTATTTTTCATTTTTGTAACTGTCACATGGGCTTATCACTTCTAGACAAGCAGTTAATACAACTACACGTTTTGCTCTGTGTGTATTAACTGAATGACAGATGCAGTGGCCTGTCACTGATAGACTTTAAAAGAAGTGGCATGACTGGTCACTGACAATGATGTACATTCATATGACTTGTGGATGGAGGACCTAGCAGTAAAGTTTATACTTTATACAACTAATCACAATTAATAATAGCATAGTAACTACAATTCGAACTGCAATCCATATTTCTTCCCTTACAAAGATATATTCATCTTGCAGCATATTCTTAAATACACATATTAATACTAATTTTATTAATTAGTAAAGAAATTTGGTTTACAATTATTTTGTGAACTTCATAACAAGAAAATACAGCAATTTTAATTTTTCAGTATTGCTAATGTAGCCAGCATTTTCAGAATCATAATAGTTGCAATTTTTCTTGATAAAACTCTTTAATTTGAAAACAGGACTTGTAGTACAATGCCACAAACCACACGGATCTCTATTTTGCCCATTAGTGAAATTCAGATTTTTACTCCCCTAAGACAAACTGCTGTTACATGCTCAGTGTAGCCTGAATTAAGGTTCCTCTGCCACAACTGGAATT